GGCCTGTTAAAGGTGGATAACTCGAAGAGCGGACGGAGGCGTGTTCGGAGAGCATTAGTAGGAGACGGGCAGGGTGGTCCTCGGGGCGCTACTGAAAACGTGGTGCAGTGGTACGCAGCAGTTCATAGTATAGCCATGTCCGCGAAAAAAAATCCGTCAAGACTGATTTAAAGGTTAGTGCAATCCAAAGTAAAGCAGTAAGGAAAATGTCACTGTGCAAACCGATTCAACGAAATGATCAGTGGTCATGCCCATTGGTTTCATACTGTAGTAGAAAAAAAAATACCGGGCATTTTGATGTTCTTCTCAGGTTTTACAATAATCTGTTCATCGAAATTTCTTATGTAGGCAAATAATACAAACTGTAAGCAATAATTTGGGCCAACCTCAATGTGTTTATGTGTGTCACTTCTCAAACTTGTTTCCATAGTGATTATATATGAACAAATGGAGGCAGTGCTTGAAAAACTCGACCCTCTAATTGTCTAGAATATTGTAAATTGTCTAGAAGCATCTAGAATAGCCATAAAAATAATCTCTGAAATACTAAACATACATTACCTCTTCCTATGGTAGCATCTGCTTGGGCAATATTATTTGTAGAAAAAATGCATAGAATAACTTACCAATATCCCAGCTAAATTACATAAATGCAGCTCCTCTGTCAACCCACCTTCATGCTCTCAAGTTTTGTCCACCCATGCTGGGTAGAAAATATGGAGGATGCTTCTTGTATCTGCAATATAGACAGCCACGCAACAATAACCAGAGGCCTCTTGAAATGAATGATAGCAGTTTGAATGGGCCCATAAACCTCTGGCTGTAAAAGAAACAGGGCGGAGTGAAGAAAGAACATGAACACAGGTGGGGGCTGGCACAGTTAGATTTCCCATTAAGAATGACTTTGGGTCTAAATGGGAGAAATAATACTATTGAATATTTGTTTTTGTTAAGAATCTTGAACATGTATTAAGAAAGCTGTAGAATGTATATACTTTCTATTTAAGTATTGCAGGTAGGTCTTAGTATATTTGCAAACCTGAGTGGAAAAGATTTATTGACATATTGAAATTTCAGAAGGTAAGCCATCATTTTCTACAGCCTTTCAATGTATTTTTGAAAAACATTTGTCATCTCAGAAACAAGCATCTAGTTTATATTTTCCTGTAAAAAAATCAGTGACATTTCAGATTACCTGTGTATTCAAACCACTTTTAAAGTTGGGTTTTGTCTGCAAGTCTTGCTTTACTCCACTTGACCAAATGTCATCCCGTTCAAAAAAAAAAAAAACCAACCCAAAACTCAGAAAATGTTTTGACTATTAACTTCAATAAAGGGACAATTTTTTTAATTGATTTTTTTTTTTTTTTTTATATCCTGTCTGCAATAACGGCAGCTGGGAGTCTCTGAATCAGATGCCAGGATTTCTTTGTGCAGACCTGAGGCAACAATGGAGACAAACAGTGCTACCTGCTCGACCCCTGCCCCCCCAAGCCCCTGATCACTGGCCTTTATAGAGCAGCTTGAAACTTCCATGTCTCTGAGGATTTTGTTCATCTGTGATTTACCTGATGCTTGACCAGAAAGAAAAGTCGGTGGGTGTATGGGTGTCTCCTGTCACATGATCGTGGCAGAGTTTGACAAATCTGATTATTTGGCCATGCTACTTGCTCTGGTTCATCGCGATTTTAATCCACTGCCATAGCATCAGATAGTCCCCAGTCAGGTGGCCTTTCCTCAGATGCTCTCTATTTGCCTGAAGTGTTGTATGACCAGAACTATGGAATTATGTTTTAAGAAACAGATAATCAGTTCCCATGTTAAGGAGATTCATGTGGATATTCTACACCAAGGCATATGAGGAAAGGAATCCAGCCTTTCCTCCAGTGAAAATCATTGACTTGTTTCACCAAAGGAAAAGAAGGAAGAAATTTTGTTTCATTAACTTGCATAAGCAAAGGGTTGGAAACGCTGAATCAGTCCTCTCTTTTTGTGAAACAAGATAGCAGATTGTTGTCCTAGCAATGACCCTAACTGTACTAGAGGAAAAAATGTTGACATTTTGTACTCTTTAAAACCGGTGTATCTGAATACAGTGTTTGAGAAGTATCTCTTTGGTTATAGTAGGGCAAGCAGCCATTTCATTTGTGATCTTTTATCTGATCTGTGTGTTTTTAGACTGGTGGTAGCCATACTCTGCCTGGGATTATTTGTGTTCTGAACATGAAGCGTCATAGTGAGAGGTATCGAAACATCAGGTTTTGTCACGGACAAAAATCTTGGATTGACACAGGGGATTTGTTATGGCCCCCTGGCTTTAAATTTTACTATCCTTTCTAGAGCAGTCTCAGCTGAAAACTTGCTCCTCAAGGACCAGGTTCATGTTATCTTCAGGCAGAAGAGATAAAAAAAGACACTAAATAATATGTCTGTATTACTAAAGATAGGATCCATGGCCACTTTTATATGTGCCCATAATATACTTCAGTAGATGCCTCCCCAAAAGACAGTCCTGGTGAATCATGAGCTCTTTAGTGAGAGTGAACATAATGACACATTTATTAATGGGAGGGTAACAGGTGGACTACCTGGTTTAGCAGCTGGGTTTCCAGTCATTATTCATGCAGGTTGAAGCAAAGAATAATGTACCTGAAGAAAGCGGTAGGAGCTGACACCACCTGAAACGGAGCTCTAGTTGAGCAATCCCTGCTCATCAGTATTATGGCAAAGGCAATGTCACAGTTTGCATTAGGAAACGTTAGAAATCTCCTTTTAGACATCTCATACCGTGACTTGAATTTACCGTGAAACTGTCCTGTACTTCATGGGAAGCCTGGAAGATCCCGAGTTCCTCTCCTGCACTTGCAAGTCTGATGCTAGAGTACATGCTGTGTATTATTTGATTGCCACAGCTAGCAGGGCAAAGAAAGTAATTGTGAACAGACAGAGTTCATTCACAGTCGGTCACGTTAAGGGATCAGGATGATTTGTTAGGGTGTTGTTAGCAGGAAGTAATGTTTTTCAATTCATCATTCCCAAAGGATCCTGCCTAAACAAAAGCGTGCTTCCTCAGATGTAGGAGTAGATAGGAAAGATTCTGGAAAATCTCCAGGGGAGAGAGAAAGTCCAAATTCCAGCGGTCCCATGCTTGTTGTTTAAGTACAGTCACAGGGCTTCATTAATGCGAACTTTTTTTTGTCATTCCACTGAAGCTATAATCTAAATAATAAGAATTTATGAGATGCAGTGGTTTTAATGCACTGAAAAAGCTTGCTCTGTATTCTTTAGTATCTTGGTGCAACTTGAAATCCACATTATGATGACTTTAGTACATTAGGCTGCTAGGCTAGCTTTGCCATCCTTTTTTAAGGTTATTATACAACTTTGTTATGCTTTGACAGGTATTTCTACTCTTTCTAACTGTAATCAAACTTGTGTTGTGAAATCTCAATGATGTCCTCCTTGAGTGAATTGAAAGTACATCTGGATACGGAATTTTTTCTCCCTGTTGAAGTTTTGTCTCACAGAGTAGTTGTGCACTAGGCCAATAAGGAACATTTTCAAAAATGCTTAAATTATTTAGGAGCCAAGCCCTGTAGGAAGCCAGTAGGATTTAAGCTGCTTTGGTTAATTTAATTGTCCCACGTGCTCAATCTCTTCAAGATATTCAGACTTGTGCAGAGGATATAGGGTGGGTAGGGCCTTTCGCTGACCAGCTGACTCACTTGTCTGAAATGTATGCATGGTGGTTTGTGGCTTGTGCTCCCTAACTGCTTCGAGCCCAAGTCTCCAAGGAGTGTTCCAGCTTTGGTTTTGCATGGGTTTGTTTCTTGGCCTAAGTTCTCTCACTCCCTGTAAGACTTTTCTTTTTTTTTTTTTTTTTTTTTTTAAACAATGATGTTAATTTGTTAAACTGTTTTAGACTAATTTACTTGGTTTTTAAATAAATGCCAGAGTTGTGTGAATTCCATACTTCAGGTTATTCATCCATTGATCCATTTCCCCTTAGAGTTTGGAGCTTAAATGCAGACTTACAGTGACCTTGGTGCCTTTAGAGGTCTCTAAATTATCCATTATGTGTTATTCTGGAATAATGAAGTTATCTCTGAATTTTTAAGACAGATGGTTTCTCTTTTATACAGTGGGAAAGTTCTTGTAACCTGTTGCTGAAAGGAAGTGGCAGAAACATTCTGGGGCCTCAGAAGAACCTGGGATTCTCAGCCCTGTCTCAGAGGGTCAAAAATCTAAAGGGGTAAGGGAAGTTAAGTACTTCTTATTTTAGGAATAGGTACATATAGTTTCATCCGGTGGCCTTTGAACTTGTGAAAAAATTCCCATTTACTTCAGTTAGCATTGTGTTGGGCTTCTAAAATAGTGTTAATTTTAGAAAAAGAGTATTTCCTTTCTTAGAGGAAATATGTAAATTACTGTTAATTCTTTAAATGAGTAGAAGGTAAGAAAACTATCGTATGGGATCACTTATGGTGGTCTTGTGATTTTAGTAACTATTCTGGTAATAAGAATGTTGGCATAATAAAATCCCAACCCAAATACTCGAAACAGAAATATAGTTTTTATTTCTATTATTTTCTTAGTCATTCAGTCCTCTGCATGCTATAAAACTCTACAGTCATAGTTTTAGATCTTGAACGTTCTCCTTGATTGAGCGATTAGATTCTTTCTTGCAGTTTTTAAGGCTTGTAGTCAGGCCCAGGACATGGAGTCAGCTTAGCTCTGTTCTCTGTTGTGTTAAAGACTCCCAGTGTGACCACCGGCATGTAATTTTAGCACTGAAATTGAACAGACTATATTTATTAGAGACTTGCAATTGACTTTCATTGGAAGGAGAGGCCTTTCTGCACTTCAGTTTTCTCCTCTGTAAAGTGGGGATGATACAGCGTCTGCCTCAGAGGTTCCGTGTGGGCAAATGTTTGAGAAATGTGGAGATCAGTAATGGTAGGAGGCTTAGAAATCTTTGATAGAAGTTACGTGCATGCTTTCAGGGTAGAGTTTGTTCTTTCTATTACAAAAGTAAAGAAAGCTAGAGAGATTAAGCAGGTGGCAGCTGCTGATAACACCCGGACAGAGTACTGTGGTTACATTTATCTCTTAACTCAATTGGGAGACTTCTGCACTACCATGAAATAGCACGTCATATATTTTTCTGAGACAGTCTACAAAGAACAATTTTTCCAATTCTGAGAGAAAGGTAAATATGTGCCTATGCATTCTTTTGAAGAAAACATTTTTCCTTTTGATATTGGTTAGCCATCTAAGTAAGTTAGTTATTCTCATGGTCATTCAATGTGGATGTGGAATCCACTGAATGTGATGTTCTTAGGAGGAGGAACTAATGCATGTGAACCAAGCCAAGATGAAAACACGAAAAAGGCCAAGCAGTTCTTTGATTTTAAAGGGGTATATTCACAGGACCCAATCTTGTGGTAGAAAAATAATAATCTCTAATGTATGTTGTAGATATGCTTACCTTGATAGATGCCCTGTTTTCCGACTGATGAGACCGGTTGATGCGACTCTGTCCTTCCCCATCCAAACTGCACTTTTAGACATCAGAGCAAGCACACTGTGCTTTTCAGAGTTTACGTACAGTGCTATGAGCTATGAGGGCCCGTCTCAGATTAGTGACGACAGAAAGGCTAGATGTTATCAACTGACACAGCATTGCACAGAAAGCTTTGCTATGAGTGTCTTACAGGCCGTTATTGTCAGAATACTTAAAACGTCTACATCCCTAAACAGCAAGAGTAAGATATCATAGAAATTACGTCATTGTTCTTTAACAGAAGCTCTTTCTGTCCATATTGAGCCTTCTGTGTTAACTAACTCCTTCTCTAGCAGAGCATTTTAACCTCCAAAACAGTATTTTGCAGTTTCTGGAGCTTGTTACAACATGTAAATGTTAACAGTAAAGATAAATACTTTGTCATTGATAAAATGACCTGTGTAGTCAGAATTACTGCCTCAAAGTAAATCTTAATTTCTACAAGCTGAAATTTTTCTACTGAGCCTTACTTTTTGTAAGAAAATTGAGTCTATTCAGTTCTGCAGGTAACTGTAGCTCAGATTCCCTGTTTTGTTTCTGTCGCTGATACTGGCTTAATAGGCAATTATACATGAGTAGTTTCAGCTTTGTGCCCCTGTTTTGCCTGCCTGTAAAATGTAAATTATAATCTGTCTTTGAAGGATCTCTTAAATTGTAAACTGGTTAAGGCTGGGACTGATTGCTTTATGTGCTATGCTTCAGCCTACAAAGCAGTCGGTTCTGGGTGGGGAGCTGAGGTTCTACCTGGGTAAAAGTTTAAAAACCTAGTCAAGAAAAACACGGTGACCTGTTTAATAATTTTCTTTTGTTAATCCTTCTGAGGTTTTTTTTGGATTAAAAATGTAAATATTACAAGACTTTTCTCTTTAACAGTATTACAGATGCATGCTGTTGTCATGACTGGGTCTGAAATGTGTGCCCATGAAGCTGAAGCCGCCAAGTGGGCTGCTAAAAAACCTGTCTTGTAACCGTTCTGCTCTGTTTGCGGTTTTTTTTTAGTGTTATGATGCCTCCATAGGCCAGTCCTTAGTCCCAATTGTTTGTGCTTGAACCCATCACGGAATGCTCTTATAAATTATTTTATTTGCTAATCGAATACGGCATGCCAGATGAGACAAAAATGAACATACAAGGTGCTGGAGAGTAGGAAATTCATTCTTTTCCTCTCGGGTTGCACCCAGGAACCGCTGCCCACATTCTCCTGGGGCCCACTGACACACGCAAACATGGACATCCACTGATGCAAGCACAGATGGGATGCAGGTGATCACATTGTTTTAGCCAGGCTAACTGTGGCATTGCTTGTGCTAATCCAGGGCATGCACTTTAACATGTCACGTCACAGCAATTGTCAGTGGCCAGAAACTTTTGCTTTTTACACAGCAGGAGACAGAAATGAGAGTTCATGCTGAATTACAGACACATATTGATTCATTTGTTACATGCATGTATTGAAAGTGATTATATTATAATTTGCTGGCAAATTTTTGCAATAAATAAAATAGATGTGCCTCTATTCAAAGTAGTTTTATCTTGTTCTAGGTACTTTAAGAGCTTCTGGTAATAGTTGTTTCCGAGTCTTAAGGAGTTGTTTATTTGCTATCTCATTCAACATTTATTTGTAGCTCATTGTGATGGGTTGACACTGGCTAGAGGCCAGACACCCACCAAAGCCGCTCTATCCCTCCCCTCTTCAACAGGATGGGGGAGAGAAAATCTATCGAAAGGCTTGTGGGTCAAGATAAGGACAGGGAGAGATCATTTGCCAGTTACTGTCATGGGCAAAACAGACTCAACTTGGTGAAATCAGTTTAATTTATTACCAATCAAATCAGAGGAGGAGAGGATAAAAAACCCTGAATCTTGAAACACCTTCCCCCCACCCTTCCCTTCTCCCCAGGCTCAACTTTGCTCCCAAATTCTCTCCCTCCTCCCCCTGGGGAATGGGGGTTGGGGTCAGTTCATCACATGCTGTCCCTGCCAGTCCTTCCTCCTCAGGGGACAGCTCCTCGCACTCCCCATGCTCCAATGTGGGGTCCCTCCACAGCAGACAGTCCTCCACGAACTCCTCCAGCGTGGGTCCATCCCCCCCATGGGGTGCAGTCCCTCGGGAGCAGACAGCTCCAGCGTGGGTCCCTGTGGGGCCACAGGCCCTGCCAGGCGCCTGCTCCAGCGTGGGCTTCCCATGGGGTCACAGCCTCCTTTGGGAACCCCCTGCCCCAGCATGGGGTCCTCCCCGGGCTGCAGGGGGAGATCTGCTCCCCCGTGGGCTCCCTGGGCTGCAGGGGCACATGTGCTGGCCTGGGTGCCTGCAGGGCTGCTCCTCTCATACCCTCTCACTTCTCTTTTTCCAGTTGCTGTTCCTCTGCAGGTTTTTTTTCCTTAAATATGTTATCACAGAGGTGCAACCACTGTGGCTGATGGGCTTGGCCTTGGCCAGTGGCAGACACAGGGAAAGCTTCTGGCAGCTTCTCACAAGCCACCCCTGTAGTCGGCTGTGTGTCGTCCCTCCCCCCCCCGCTACCAAAACCTTGCCATGCAACCCCAATATACTCATTCTTGTGATCAATTTAGAAGTAGCAAAGTCAGGAAAATCCTAATCTCTAAACAGTCTGATACTATAGTATTTGGTAACAACCCAGTTACTCGTATTTTTTCTTTACGTGCTCTTTTGTCCTCTGTAGCTTGTGTTACCATTTCTAAATATATTCCGATATACACTTTTCCATGGGTTATGAGACTACAAGGTCTCGCATGACAATATTTTATTTCCGCAGGAATTTAACAAACCACTGATTTAATTTATGTGTTAATAACGAATAGACTCAGTCAAACAACTGCAAGATACTTAGAGTTTCAGGGCTACATTTGGATGTGATATTTTGTGTATCTTAAGCTCAGAGTTTTCTTTTTTTCACATTTCTGTCCAAAAAAGCTGAGTTATCACAAAGGTGATTTTACAGTTTATTACACAATAGGATTTCCTTTACTATTATTCATTTGCATTGCTAACATTCAAGTATTCTGGGAATACAACTTTGTACCCCTGGGAGCACATTTTTTTCTGAAATCACATCAGAATTGTATTTGTTAATTTACATCACATCCAAATTGCCTTTGCAAATTTACTGGGCAAACAAGCTGTGTATCTTTATGCAGAAGGAAAGAGAGAAAAGTGAGAACCGTAAAGAGCTGCTGTTGCCATAGAGCTGCTAAGGAGGAAAAAAACTGCAGCACGGATTTCTTCTGCTGTTGAAGGTAAGATGAGGGCACAGCAAAGACTGTAGGAGGGGGAGGGGAGGGAGAAGAGGGAGAAAGTCTGCATCTTTGCTGTCTAAAAAAGGAAATTTGGTTTCAGTGTTCATGAGCAGAACTGCTGGTGCAGAAGAACAAAGCCATCTCGGTTGTTTAGGGTAGTGAGAGTGATGAGCAAGCCAGCACACTCCTATGCTTCCAGGAGGAAATACTACAAAGAAAGGAGGGAGAAGAGTGACCTTACCATCGTTTAGAAAATACTCACTGCAGCTTCAAGATAGCAGCTTTTTGATAGTACTTTGGCATTAACATTGTTCCCCTGGGTAAAGAGAGCTGTGAAAAAAATCAATAGGTAGATTAGCAAGAAGAAAAAAAAATTCTGCATCATCTTGAGCTAATTAATTCTGTCTGTATGTATTAAAATATGTCAGTTGTTACACTCAGCTGTGCATTGCTGGGAAAGCTTTCAAAATGCAAGTGAAGCTGTGGTTTTTGTAAGATTGTTATGACAAATTGATCTGTTACCAACCTTTTAGCAATGATCTTTCAACTTTAAGTAGTTGTCTTTTGAGAGAAAATGTATAACAAATAACTAAAAAGTAAATATTAGATACTCAAGAATACTGACTGCAGATCTGACATCAGACATGCTTTCTCTGGAAACCCTTTAATAGGGTGGGCTACGTAGACTGAGATTCATATATTTTTCCCTCTCTGACCGGTCACCCGCACCATCAGTTGCTTTTCTCTGGCTCTCTTGGGCCAGCTCCAGCCCTATTCCTTAATTCCTCTCTCTCTGAGACTGGACCTCCGCGCCCTCGATTGCTTTTCTCGAGCTCTCTCGGGACAGCTCAGACCCTGTTCCTTAATTCCACCCACTCTGCCTGGTCACCCGGGCCATTGATTGCTTTCCTCCGGCTCTCTTTGGCCAACCTGGGCCCTGTTCCTTAATTCCTCTCTCCCTGTCCAGTCGCAGAGGGGAGGAATTAAGGAATAGGGTCTGACCTTTTCTCCAGCTTTTTTCTCACAGCATTTCTCATCCTTCCTTAGCACCGCCACCTTGAAAATTTTATTTCTACGTCTCTATTCTAGTTTTCCCTCCCAATTTTTTTAATCTTCTCCTCTCTTAACTCCTTGGCTTTTAAAATTTTGATTCTATGTCTACTTTTTTTGTCCCTATTTTACTTTTTTTCCTGTCTGTCCTGTGCCTCATTGCTTTTAAAAAGTTCTTTCTGTGACCACTTTTATCAACAGGTTTCTCCTTATTTTTTTATTTTCTTGACTGTCATTTAACACGTCACTTTTAGATTTTCTACATCTGCTTTTACCCAGTTCACTGTCTTTATTTTTTTATTATGTCTTGCATTGCCTTATCGCCCTCGCCTTTTAAATTATCTGTCTATGTCTTTGTTTATTTAGCTTGCTGTCCCTATTTTTTTAATTCTTTTCTCTCTTAATCCTTTGGCTTTTCAAATTTTATTTCTATGTCTATTTTTATCAAGCTCCCTATGCCTATGTTTTATTTCTTTCCTGTCTGTCATGTACCCTGTCACTTGAAAAACGTACTTGCTATGTCTCCATTTCTTTAGTTTGCTGTCCCTATTTTTAAATTCTTTCCTCTCTTAATCCCCATCACTTTTAAAACTTACTTTCTATGTTTCTGTTTATTTACTTTGCTATCCTTATTTTTTTTTTTCCCTTATTTCCCTAATCCCTGTTGCTTTGACTATTCTCTACGTCTCCTTTTATCCAGTTCACTGTCTGTATGTTTTTGTGTGTGTCCTCTACACTTTTGCTTTTGGAATTTTCTTCCTATGTCTGCGTTTTGGCTAGTTGTCCTTATTTTTCAGGTTTTTCCCTTTTTTTTTTCTTAATACTTTTTTTCTTTGCCTACTTTTATCCCATTCACTCTCTCTGTTTCTAAAATTGTTTCTTATCTTTCCCTAGTGCCACCACTTCTTAAATTTACTTTCTAGGTCTATTTTATCAGGCTTCCATCCCCGTTTTTTAATTCTTTCTCGTCTGTCATGTACCCTGTTGGTTTTCAAATTTTCTTTAAATATCTCCATTTCAGTTCACTGATTTTTTTTTTCCCTTTCTTTCCTTAATCCTGATGCTTTTAAAATGTTCCTTCTAGGTCTGCTGTTACCTGGTTCCTTTCTCTATTTCTTAATACTTACCCACCTGTCACGAACCACATTGCTTTCTAAATTTTCTTTCCGTGTCTACTTTTAGCTAGTTCGCTGTCCCTATTTTAAATTTTTTACTCTCATGGTTCTTTTTGGTTTGAATTTTTGTTTCTAGGTGTACTTCTGTCTCATTTTCCATCTCTCTTTTTTACTTTTTTCCCATTTCCCATATCCTGTTACTTTTCAAATTTTTGTTCTACCTCTACTTTTATCAAGATGTCTCTCCCTAGTTTTTAATTGTTTCCTGCCTGTCCTGTCCCCCATTGCTTTTAAATTTTCTTTCCTTGTCTATTTTTATCCAGTTTGTTATCTTTATTTTTTAATTCATTCTTGTCTGTCCTGGACCCAGTCACTTCTTAAATTTTCTTTCTACATTTCTGTCTGTTGAGGCGGGTTCGCTATTTTTAATTTTTTTCCTCTCTTGATGTCTTTGCTTTTGCATTTTGGTTTTTGTGTTCATTGGTATGTATTTTTCTGTCTCTATTATGTACTTTTTCCTTTCTGTCCTCTACATTGTCACTTTTAAAATTTTCTTTGTCTACTTTTATCCAGATGTCTAACCCTATTTTTTTTCTTTTTTGCTGTCTTTCCTGTGTCACAGGAGGTGTCTGTTTGAGGTAAGAGGTTCAGGACTAGCAAAGGTTTAGCAGCATATATAGTGGAATGTACACTTGTATGCAGCATTTTTTTTCAGGTCAGTGATTTCATATGGGTGTTCAGGGGTAGCAAGATGGTTTGGGTTTGTTTTGTGGCTTGTTTGTTTGGTTTTTTTTTTTAATTCTAAGTGCATTGCATTTTCCTGGAATTCCTAACTTTATTGAAAATGGAACCTTGGGTTTTTTCACCAGTTTTGCTGATATCATCTGTCTTAATAGGACCTATGGTGAGATCATCTAGCAGGGGTGAGCACCTTGTATGCATCTGTGTGTAGAGTTTTAGCATTTCTCAAGGAAGCAGCAGGGACATAAGGCATAGTGTCTTTCAGGGTATGGGACAGTTCATCTCCTTTCCCAATGGCCTACAGAGTACACCGCGTCATCCCTAGAATGTTTGCAGCTCGCAGCAGGCCCCTCCTAGATTATAAGCATCAGGACTTCGCTTGGTTTGTGGGACTGTAGCGGAGAGCAGAGTCTGTGGGAAGATAGAAGATAGGAGGTGCTTGCAGAATGCTCATACGAGCAGCTCCCAAGGAGTGGCTGACACAGCGGGTCCAAGGTTGCAAATCCAGGGCAAGAGCTGTCAGGAAGGAGTGGGGTTCCTTCCCTGGCAGTCGAGGAGAAGAGAAGAAGGGATATCTGAAGTTCTGAGGCCGGAGGATGGTTGGTCAAGGGAGGCGGGTTCATCAGCCTTTCTCAGATGGGTTTTGGAGCTGGATTTGGCTTTCAATGAGGTCTGTTGTGTTTTAGTCTCTCCACAGCTGACGGGAGGTATGACGGACTCACGAGAGATGCAGCGTAAACCATCCAGGTCTCTGCATGACAACACGCAGGGCTGAACGTCGGACAAGTCTTTTCTTGGAAAGCATTATGTACGTTAAAATACAGCCTCCAGAACTCAGGTCTCTGCTTCTCCATGCCTTTTCCTTCCTTCCTTCCCTGACTTAAGCTTTACATCCATCCCTTCACCATCCATCCAGCTGTCATGATCACTGTTAACTTAGAGGCATTGACCGGCCACTTCTTTCCAGCGCAGGTTTGTCACTGTCTTCCCTGGAAATGCCTGGAGAAGAGGTTGGGTATTATTTGGGCTCGTAACAATCTCCAGCCAAGGGTCTGTCTTTTCTCACAGTCCCAGGCACGCGAGCTTTTCCTACGATTCCAGTTCTGCCTTTTTCCTGAAGCGTCCCATGAGATTTGCTCCAGTATCAGTCATGGCAGTTCTGTTCTCTTCTTTGTGGTTCTCGCCCCCACTCCTCCCTGCCCCCTGTGTTTCTCCCTATGAACATTCTGTTCATGGGCCCCATTGTAACCCCATATGCCAACAGAGAGTTAACGTGAGTCACTACCGGTCGCCCTCTTAGCTGCTCCCTTCTGCCTTCCCTTGCACAGGGGTCACTGTCTGTGCCAGCCCTGCGAGGCTGCAGCTCTGCGGTGCTCAGCCGGTCCCTTTATCCCTCATCCTGTGTGAAATAGGAAAGGGAACCAATGTGATCTGGAACATGAAACGGGACAAGCGTAACCCTTCCCTCCTCTGTTTTTTACAGATTAATTGCCACGGCTGCTAGCCCAATTTAAAGCCAAGAGAAACTGTGGCACCATCCTCCTGTTTGTGTCCTGCTCCGCAAATAGCA